CTTTGAAAACTAGTGCACCCTTGAAGATGATATATCCTTGCGAACTGGTAGTGCTAGCTCTTCTTTTGATAAACTGAAAAATCGGTTGTGGCCACGATGTCTCTTGTCACATAAGTTAAGGTTTATATGACCTGCATTATATCCATCCTTGTCTATTCTTGTGAGACATGGGTGACATCTAAGAGATCTAAGAGATACCTGAAGAATTTAGAACGTTTTCACCAACAGTATGTGAGAAAGATTGCCGGAATTACTTGGCAGATGGTTATTAGTGATATTGTAAGTGTATGATCATTGAAAGCATCATCCTGCACCATCGTCTTGGTGTGGTCATGTGATGAGAATAGAAGAACAGCAATTTCCGAAACAGCTTTTCTATAGGGTGTTGTCTATGGGGAAACGTACACAACACAAACCTAAATTGAGGTTGAAAGATTGCTTGAAGCAATCACTGAGAAATGCACAAATTTGAGAAGTTGGAGAATGCTGTTTTCATCGTGCCAGTTGGAGGCGGTCCTCAAAAGCAGATGCAAGTGCACTTGAAGTTCAGAGATAGAAGCATCAGCAGCTGAAAAGAGATCTTAGAAAAGGCAAAAATGTTGGGCTTCCAGCGTATGTCGGCATTGAATTCACGGGTCTTCAACGCAGCAAGATATGCCTAAATAAATCAGGCTTCAAATGTCACCAGCGACGTTACATGTACCACAACGTCCCTAACTAAATGCTGGATAGTCAGAAAATAGTTAAAAGTTTCCAATCGGAGGCCTAAAGAGACACATGATAATTCAAAAGAATAACCACGAAGCAACAGCAGCGCATAACATAGGCTTTTTCAGCTGTTAAGTTTGTGATAAACAATGCCAATCCCTGGCAGACTTGAAGTGTCATATCAGAATAATTCATGAATAGAATGATCAAGCGATGGCAATACTCGAGTACAAGTGTCTTGCTATCATATATATATATATATATATATATATATATATAGCTTCAGATTAAATTGATGAATTAGACACTAAATAAAAAAGATTTTATCTTAACCATCATTCACAATATTAAAATATTACTATTGGTAATTTTTAAGTTTTTATATTCGTTTATTAGTATAATATTCACATTTTATTAAAACCCTAATTCATTTGTGGAGAAGTTAAATATTTTAATTGCTATCAAGCATTAAATCTAGTATATTTGTGGATTTTTTAAACATTTAAATTACTATCAAATCTATACCACCCTTCTCCTTCCTTCAAAACCCTACGTGAATCTCTTATTTCTTATCTCTTTTGTACCCCCCTTTGTTCTTTTTTCCTATTTTTATTTTTATTTTTTTCCAATATAATTTCTGGTGAGTTGACCGATTAAATAGGTCATGGGCTGATACTTACCCCCTCGTCCTCAATATTAAGTATTGTAATAAAAATAAAAATAAATTTTAAAACACTCCCTTCAATCTATAATTTCAAGCATGTCTCTCACACTATCCCTCACCACACTCTATGTCACCTTATATAAGTTTAATATTGCCCTTCAAAAGTGTAAATTTTAAATTCATTTTTTCACCCTAGGAAGTGAAGTCTGAAAAAAATCAAATACCTGGTGAAATAAATTATAATAATAGAAACTTAAAGTGGTCTGTTTTATTCTTTAAATTAAATTATTTACTCTGACTTAACATTGTGCTCTCCGTATTTCGTCCTTGGGATTATCCATACAGATTACAGATTACTTTAATATATATATATATATATATATATATATATATATATATATATATATATATATATATATATATATATATATATAATCAATTTACAAATACATGAATTATTCACACAAAAACTAATGCAAAGGTTAATGATTTAAATGGCGAGACATCCATCATCGCAAACAATTCAAATAATATACAAAACCTCCGAATCCGTTATGAATGAAATGACCCTTGTTTATATAAATTTCTGCCGTATTAGTTCTTATTTTTACTACAAGCTTTCGTCTGTTCCTGAAGACATCTTCAGGTATAGAATAGATGTTGTTCTTGTTTTTTCTCTTAGTAATAAGAGGACAACGAAAATATATGTATTGTTGTATCCGAAAATGCTATTGAAAATGAGTTATTGTTTTTGGAACGCGCAGAAGCAACGCTGAGTTTGATTTTGAATTTTTAAAGGTTGTGCGTTCATATAAAATATGGTGATGAACAAATTTTTTACTGGTAAATTTTTCTGTCAAAGTGGCATGAACTATATTGTTCAATAACTACAGTAATGTCGCACTTATTATCCGAAAGTCGCACTTGGATCAGTTATTTAAATTACGATAAACGTGCAATCAATTTACAAATACATGAATTATTTTATATTTTATATATAAATTTATCATCAGTACATTATATTTTATATATTTTATATATTGAAACAGCATCTGTTATAATGATGAACACGTAGGAACACATCCTGTTTTTATACTGAAATATTCAATAACTAGCTCAACAGTGCATATATTTTATATGAACGCACAACCTTTAAAAATTCAAAATCAAACTCAGCGTTGCTTCTGCGCGTTCCATAAACAATAACTCATTTTCAATAGCATTTTCGGATACAACAATACATATATTTTCGTTGTCCTCTTATTACTAAGAGAAAAAAACAAGAACAACATCTATTCTATACCTGAAGATGTCTGTAGGAATAGACGAAATCTTGTAGTAAAAATAAGAACTAATACGGCAGAAATTTATATAAACAAGGGTCATTTCATTCATAACGGATTCGGAGGTTTTTGTATATTATTTGAATTGTTTGCGATGATGGATGTCTCGCCATTTAAATCATTAACCTTTTGCATTAGTTTTTGTGTGAATAATTCATGTATATATATATATATATATATATATATATATATATATATATATATATATATATATATATACTCTAGAGAACCTAATCAATGCTGAATTGGTTCATCATCTTTCATCGCAGAGCATTTACTCAAACAAGTAATATGTCTTTCTTTTCTCCAGTTCAACTGCTAATGTACTGATGATAATTGCTTAAAGAGTCTATCATGCTCTAGACAAAAACGCTGAACTACAGGTTGTATCATTGGACATATCTAAGGCATATGAAAGTCTCTGGCATACAGTTCGTCTCCACAAGCTGAAAAGATAGGTGTCTTCGGACACATTTTTGAATTAATACAGTGTTTCCTATCAAATCGTGAAATGAAAGCTTTCCAGAACGGCTATTCGTCTAGATCCTTTCGTACACAGGGCTCACCCTTGTTCCTTCTCTGTTTTTAATTTTATTTAATGACCTTTCCGATGACAAACAGATTTCAACATGGCATCTACGCTGATGAGAAAAACATTTACTCCTGCCTCGAAAGTAAGTTGCCACTGCTAGTTACTTTGAGCTCCTTTTATGATCCAAAGAAGAATCAGCAATATAATCGGTCTTGATCTGTCGGCTCAGTCATTTTCCCAATCCTGTAAGGTTGCCTCACTGTATCATCTCTATAAATACTTTCATGGTAATTGTTCGAGACAGCTCTGTTCAATATAGTAACTAGAGTTTATAAATGTAAGCACAGTACTAGAATGGAGTTGAGAACATCAATTTTGAGTTGAGCTAGTTAGATGTAGCCAAAATTTCTATGTTAAAATTTTCTTCTCCCGATTTTCTCGGAAAGAACAACATGCATGTAAGGGAGGTAACTTAATATTTTCAATTATTAATTTTTAAAATAATCAAACTGCAATTTTAAAGAAATAAATTACAATTTTTTAAATGCCTATAAAACAATTTAAAACAGTGGTGCTATACTCATATTCAATCTTAATTATTGTTGGTTGAATTTATCTTATCTCTTCAAAGTTTATTTAAATTTTTTCATGTTGGAGTATACTTTAATTGTAAATTAATATTTCTTCGAAACATGAATGTAGATATAAATGTCCCTTTAAATTTTGTGCAATACAACTTCATCGATAGCCCTGAAGATATCAACCTTCTATACCGTAATCAAATACACTCTAACTACAAGCAATATGAAAGCATTCTAAAAAAAAAACTCATAAATATTAACATATACTCCACTGATCTCAGTAAAAAAAAATGTAACTATATACTATATTAAATTTATCATAACCAACTTAGCCATCCGCAATAACTCTTCTCAGTCAACTAATTTTTTTGAAATGAGAAGTAAATATATATACTGGTTTCACGACAACAACATGATCAAGACGGCTTACACTATATATGTCAGATTACATTTCTATTTAATTGAACATTCTTTTCCCAATTCACGTTTTCTGTAAAAGCAATGTTTTCGGATACTCAAAATGTAATTTTGTTTTTAACTTGCAGATTGAATATTTCAGTATAAAAACAGGATGTGTTCCTACGTGTTCATCATTATAACAGATGCTGTTTCAAGCGCATTTACAAAAGAAAAATCAGGAAAATCATTTAATTTACATTTTTCATTAGCAATTTCCCACTAAATAGGATTTTCGGTAAGATTGAAAGTGCTTGGGAAAATTAAAGTAATGAAAATAAATACGGTTTCTACTTTTCCTGTTAAGGAAAAACTACTAAGGTATTTTATTCTATTAATAAAATCTATTCTAATAATGGATTTACCACATTACTAAATTAAAACAAAATTCTCATTTGAATTATTTAAATAAGTGCTGTGACATCACAAGTTCCAAAATTATATAACTGTCAATAAATAACATAATTTTTAAAAAAAACCTTCTCTCTGCATTACTCTGTTATAGTGAATATAAAAATTAATTGTTTAGAATAAGTTTCATTTAATGGAGGTTACTAAACATATACATATTTTTTAGTCTTGGAATTTACATATAAATGGAGAAATTACGAAATTTAGGATGAAAAATGTGAAATTATCGAAAGTGTTCGGTTCAGCAACATCAAATCCATCTGACAACAATTTAAACATGAGTATCGCGTTATTCAATGAGGTTTTAGAGAGTTAATGACTTATTAAGTGTTGTTAGCGAAGAGTTTTCGCCTTTATTTATTTTAATATTACAAATTAAATCTTTGTATCATTACCTCTTTATGATCTCTCTCTCTCTCTCTCTCTCTCTATATATATATATATATATATATATATATATATATATATATATATATATATAAATATATATATTAAAACCGATTGTTAAGAGTTGGCTTTTTCTAATAATAATAAAAATGAAAAAGCCAATTCTTAAGAATATTAACTACGAACAAGTCAACGATGTGCTAACCGAGTTCGGAAAATAAAACACCTCTATGACACACTAAAGGCACCCACATAACACACACATGCACTCGTTTAAACTGAAAAATAAATTCATCCTTCATAATGGCTAGATGTAATCGCTCTAAACTATAGAAAATTTGAACAGTTTCTACATACTCTCTCTCAATAAAAATTGTTGAATATTGCCATAATCCTTGCGTTATTTTATGTTTGGTCTTCCAAGAAGTTTTGCTGGTCTCTCGCCCAACTGTGCACCACACATAATAAACAAGGAGTTTGCAGTCTGTGGAGTTAGGGGGCCATATGTGAGGGTTGATGTGGTCGTAGAAATTGTCTGGGTTTCCTGATTGTTTGGCATCGTGCAGAATCTTGTTGCCAGACACAGGATTTGCCATTGGAGCACTAACTCCTCAAGGCACTTGATGTCGTCATCGCTGTCGAATTTGATGACATCACCAACAAATTCGTGTCAGAAAGATCAGAATGTATTTTTCTAGCTGCCGTATCTTCGTAATCACCAGTAGAATCATCCAACTCTTTATGAATTCTCTGCACTCTCCTCAGATTTACACACAAACCCTCTGAAATGTTCGTATTGGAGCTTCCGGTGCGGAATGAATCGTGTCCTGGTGCTCTGTTACTCCTAGACGGTGCCCAACCCACCCTAGTATAGTGGGCAGGCGACAAATTAAAAAGAAAAAAAAACGCGCATGCGTGAAATTAATAACAATATAAAATGGCGACAATTTAACCATGACAAAATTTGCACGAATATATACGGTAATTAGCCTCTTTGGCATCGACTGACATTTTTTCCTTTTTTTTTTTTTTAACTCATCTCTCGTTCTTGTTCACCCTTTGACATTTATATTTATTTTTTTACCATTTCTCTTTCACCGCTCTCTCCTTTCCTCTCATCTTTATCTTACATTTCTGTTATTATTATATGTTTACCGGAAAGCAAATTTGATACATAGTTACTTTCACGTACTTTTCTCGACAGATGTGTCTGATTGTGACATGCAATGCGGTGATCCCATTGTCAGCTCTGCAGATGGTTCTTCCACATTTGTGCTAAGAGCTTTTATAAGCGATTATTGCGATCATGATGACAAGAATATGGAAGTGTTTATTTATGAAGAAATTATATATAAGCTGAAAAAAAATGACAAAAGTGTCCGTACATTATTGATGATTTTGCTGATATAAACCCAATAATATTTTAACACTGACTAAAGCAGACATCTTCCTTTTTCAAGAATGTGACAGTAGAGAAGAAGAAAATGAAAGAGAGAATGAAGCAAAGAATGTAAAGTAGAAAATTTAATATCTTATAAAGAAATTTGATAAAAAGTAAAGGAATGATATTGATCTAAATTATAGTGTAAAAAGAAATGAAAACGTGGAGTAAAGAAGAGGAGGGACGAATATGAAGAGATGGATTATAAAATAATCGGTGAAGAATATCGGCCAAGAGAAGAATGGTGAAAGAAAGGTTCATGAATAATAATAATAATAATAATAATAATAATAATAATAAGAAGAAGAAGAAGAAGAAGAAGAAGAAGAAGATGAAGATACGTACTATTATTCTAAAATTAATAATCATGACTGAAAAGGTGGTAGAATGCAGCCACAGAAGAAAAAGAAGGAAAAAGAAGAAGGAGATGAGGAGGAAAAATTGTATCTGAAGGATCAATAAAAAAAGAAGTAATAATGAAGGAAATGATTGAGAATGTGAAGAAGAAGAAGAAGAAGAAGAAGAAGAAGAAGAAGAAAAAGAAGAATGTAGTATCAATGAAAAGTTAATAATGGTGAGTGAAAAATAAGTAATATGTGTTGATGGAAGAAGATGATGATGATGAAGAAGAAGAAGAAGAAAAAGAAGAAGAAGGAGAAGATACGTACTATTATTGTAAAGTCAATAATCATGACTGAAAAGGTGGTAGAATGCAGCCACAGAAGAGAAGAAGAAGAAGAAGAAGAAGAAGAAGAAGAAGAAGAAGAAGAAGAAGAAGAAGGGAGGAGGAGGTGGAGGAAAAAGAAGAAGTAGATGAGGTGGAAAATTGTATATGAATGATCAATAAAAAAGTAGTAATAATGAAGGAAATGATTGAAGAAGAAGAAGAAGAAGAAGAAGAAGAAGAAGAAGAAGAGTGTGTATATAAGCAGTATAAATGAAAAAGGAAGTAACAATGGAGGAAGAACGAGATGCATTGTGTATAATTTGTTGATGAAGAAGAAAAATAGTGTATATGCAGAGTGTAGAAGAAGAAGAAGAAGAAGAAGAAGAACAAGAACAACAACAACAACAACAACAACAACAACAAAACAACATTAATGATGCTTAGCAATAATAAGATAGGAAAATAGATAACAGCAACTGCAAAATATCAACTGACAGAAACAATCAGAATATGACTGAAAAAGTAAAAATTTTGATTTATTTATCAGAGTCAGATATCTTTTCAAATTTAATAACGCCTGAATGACCTGCAACTCATTTCTTCAGGGATCTTGTTATTGCAATCAGTTTAAATTCTTCAACGCATAAAAGAGGTATTGGATTGAGTCAGCCAAACAGTGACACTAAACAGAAAACTGATAAGAAAACACAGAAAAATGGCTAAGTGGTAACTACACTGAAAATGCAAGGACAAATTCTCCGGGTTCAATGGACCAAGATGAGAAAAAACATAACAGCTTCATCATACATTTGGAACAAATCTAGAAATGTTTTCATTGATCTTATTCTGTTTTGTGACTTGCCAAATTATTCTGAAGAATTTAAACAATGAGTGACGAGAAAAAAACTTTTAATAAGCTACAAAGTAGAATGGGTTTTGAATATTAAGATTAAATCATGTTCTTTTTGCATTAACTAAATACTGTCTTCGAGCGTAAGAGTAATATATCAATTAATTATTTGTTGTCAACCCTCACTTGCATCGGAGCATCAGGGAACGTCAACCTCTCTCCCTATTCCCTTTCCCTCTTCTGGTTGCGGAGATGGCTGTGAATGAAAGAGAGATTTGACGAGGTCATTGTGTGAATTTAATTTTGGTGGACAACACTGCCCAACCGAGAAGCCTACACGCTAGGCCAGAAGCTTTTCCCACACAGCTCAGATGGGATTAAAACAAGCGAGATCTGGCAAACCTGGTTTCATCGGTTTCTTGGTCTGTCAAGGTCCGCCTTGGATACTCCAGCCCGACTGGAATTGCTCATTTCCGCCAGTTTGCTTGCTGAGATCGTGTAGATTTTTCGACTATTCCGCCGTTGGCGTCGTTGAGGATTGTTCGCGCTCCGTCTTGTCTTTCCCCTTCGAATTTACCGCAATCGGTGGCCCTACCCGTGTTGGAACTCAAGACGGTTTCGTACTTGGGATCACTGAAACAAGTAAGCCCTCTAGCATGACAAAGAACGACCATATATATTTACTCTGGATGTCAGAGTGAACAGTTCGTTACCAAATGTATCATGTTGATTTATTATTATTTTAATGGCAATGAGAAATGAATAAATAAAGAAGAAAAGAAGAAAATAAAACTAATACAAGAAAAAGATTATCCTCAAATATATAATAATCATTTATTATTCTTGTTGCTAAAATTAAATTTTTGATAGATAAATATTAAAGGATATAATCCAATCAGTTATGTGCCATGCGTAATACATGCTTAGGCAATCACGTATCTTTCCATACATGACTGAGGAGGCAGATTTTTCCCGCAGTAGGTTGCCATTTCTTTCTACGGTAGACCAGTTTCCACCCAAATGTATAGAACTCGGTCTGTGCAGATATCCACGAATAGCTGGTGGGAGAAGAATAGGGTATTTGCAGGTAAATAGAATTAATGGATTCAACTGGAATTCGAACTCGGCTTTCCGATTCCTTAATCCGCTATCCATTGCTCTACAGTACCTCCCATAATCCACTGCTGGATAAAAATAAGTAAACAAAAGCTTTCCTACAAATTTGAAAATACGCCCTTGCGCAGAGAGAAACGTTACGCCGCTACTAACAATAAATAAGAAAAAGACAACAATAAAATTTATTGGCAAATAAATAATACAACGATACTGAATAAATAGTCAATAATAAACAAAAGAAATTTTACGACCCGAAATTAATTTTCTACAATTTCGCCAATACCGTCCTCTTTCAGAAAGAAAAGAAACATTGCATATATATATAAATATAACATGATTCATGCCTGTTTATAAGTAATCTAACAAATACAATGCATTCAATATTCCTAATATAACAATTCCTAGTGATAAGATACATTCTGAATAATGTAAGAGAATTTGAAAAAAACACTTATTTTTAAAACAATGTATTTTAAAACTTAAACATGGTAAGGGCGTAATATAAGAAAATTATAAGATCATAAACAAAAATATAACAATAAAAAATGGATAATTAAAGTCATCCCTATTCTTAAAATACGATATCGTTTTCTTGAGCAATGAAAAATACGCCCATTCACTCCGACATCATCGTCTATATCATCTGTGTTAATATTGCATACAAAATACCAATGTATATTATCGGTGCCGGTTTAGGGTATATTGTGTTGTAACACTGATCAGTACTCAGATGGTTGTCCGCTAGAGATTATCAGGTGTTGTAATCTATGCCACAGGCCTAGCAAGCCGGCGATATGTTGTGGTACTCCGGGACTGATAGATCGCAAGTCCTGTTTCTAATTGAGTTAGTATGACAGAGACGCAAGCACAGGGAGGCAAAAAAAAAAAAGAAAAAAATTGACGTCACGTGTGTAGTTTGTGTAAGCGTCCTCGTAGAAAAAAGTAAAATCTTTATGACGAGTTCAAAATCTGAATGATTCTCTTTCGCTTGCATCGCGCCATTAACTTTGGAAAATATGTAAAGATTTCTTTCTCCTACTATAGATTAAATTTTCAGATTGGTTAGTCCATAGTCTAGGAGAATAGCAACTCTAAATAAACAAACTCAAGAGAGATGTGTTAAATACAACTTCCTATCATTTGAAGAGTCAACATTAGACACACAGAAATACTCTCTCTCTCACGCACACACGCATACACACACACACACACACACACACACACACAAAACAAAACAGGTCGAGATCTCACAAGTGTGATGTTTTTTAACAAAACAGGTTGAATGCAATACTCTTCGATAAAACGAATCGATATTTTTAACAGTCCTTCATTACCGTGCTAAACGAATTAGCAATAGATTCTCCGACTAATGTCTAGCCTTTCACTGATGAGTTGAGATGTCTAGCCTATATATATATATATATATATATATATATATATATATATACCAAAATTGTAAATATTGTTTGGAGGAGAAAATAACAATGAATATCTTCCCACACCCACACAGATTACTAAATGCCTGAGCAGAACTTATCTCAAAATAATAATGGACAACAGTTAATATTAATGACTAAATACAAATTAACCTAAGAAATGAATTATGAGGAGTTAATTTTTTCAAAAACCACTATACAATACTTACAAATAACCGTTGTCTGGCCCACAATTATGTCTACTTAATAGACTTGAAAATAACTTTGTATATAATCAGTACCGCATAACCAATTACCGTTAGGATAATTAAAAAACGGAAATACTTGAGCTTTCTAATAAATAGACCAGCTACCACAAAAGACATATAGCCTGAATATTAAATTCAAACACGAAACAGACCTTGATTTCAAAGTACAATTTATATCCACAAACTCTCTATCCCTGATATCGTTCAAGTTTACACACACACATGCAACACTGCACACACACACACACACACACACACACACACACACACACACACACATATATATATATATATATATATATATATATATATATATATATATATATATATATATATAGGAAAGAATTCGTTAGTTAAATAATCCAAAGTTCTTTATTATTTTTGTTATTATTTTTAAAAAATATTGCTCGATACAAAAGTAGAGCATAAATATAATTATTTTTTAAAAATATGATTCCAACACGCTACATAAGAGTTCTCATGTTTCAAAACAAGAGCCGAAAACTTCAATATAATTATTTTAATTAAATTCAATTTAATTCAAATAATTACACTGCCACGTTATAGGAAATATATCTGCCAAACTGATTGATCATATATAGAGATTTCAATATTGAATCGAGTAAAATTCTTTAATCTTTACTTTTGGATTTCAGTTTCGGTTTTCATCGGGATTCCAATGGATATCTTCTAACCTTAATTAAAAGTAAAACTTAACGGAGGATATTTCGCTCATACTAATGAAGGAAGTTTTGATTTTTAAACAAGGATGTCAATTTCCTCAGCTAGATTTTTTGTTTTTCACAGAGATGTTATGTCGCAACAAAGTGTCCTCCAAGCAGGTTGTTATTCCACAGACAACAGCATCAACAACTACACCGATATGACCTTTAGGCTCAATTTAAATGTTATTTTACGTTTAAATGGCCGAATGAATCGAGCCAATTCCTCTGTATTTAATAAATTCGAACCTGGCGAGTTTAATGATGCACATGGCGAAAAGATTTAATTTTTTTTTTTGCAATGTAAAGACACCGCGGAGATCGTATTCAAAGAGAGATTATGGTGAATTATTGTAATAAATGAAATATTTTATTGAAAAAATAATCTGCGACTCATTCTGATATCATCCCTTATTTTTTTTAAATTGATCAAATATGTATATCTGTCCCAAATTATAAGATATGTAAGAGTTATTCATTCGTAACACGGGTATCATAATTTCTAAAGGGTTGCGAGACAAGTTATCTCCCTTGATTAAACACAGTGATAAACAGAAACAACGTTTCGAGCAAAATCTAGCGGTCCCATTATAGAGTTTTATAACAGCAATTATAGCAATCCGATTAGCTTAGTAGCAAAGCGGATGTCAGTTTAACATGTATACAAAATTTCAGCAATATCGGTCAAGGGTTTAGGCGGCAACTTGATTCAGACAGACAGAAATTACAATATATATTGCAATATATATAACCTAAAAATTCATAGGTAGTAACCACATTTCAGGGGACATGTAAAAACAAATGAAACTTATGCTGCAACCACATTAGACACATAAATTTATTCATTAGCTCCGTAACTAAACATATTTTCAAAATCTACCACGACTCTAACTGTAGAAGTCATAACATAAATTACCTCCTAGAATGCACACTATGCT